ATGAACGTAGGGGTGACAGTAGCAGAGGCAGGCATTTCCTTAGGACATTTCTCAATGGTTATCCATGGTGTCTGAAAACAGGTCTCAAGATCAGCACTAATGGAATGAATCAAGTCACCAGCTCCAGGAATTCTTCAATGAGAATCCAATAAGTTTTCATACCCACTTGCTTCAGACTATTACTTTTCATTACATTACCAAATCCAATAATACCTTTGTTAGACTGAACTGAACTGTAAATGTTTGATATCTACCATCAAATCTGAAGGCGTCAAATTATGAAGAATGTCATTATACGTCTTGTTTAATGATTGTTAGATACAAACCCAGTAACAGCACTACAAACCACCTCTTCTTTAAAAATTTTACCAGGCTTACTTACTACTTCATTGTAATTAGGAACTATTTTATAAATAACCTAATTGATGTTATCCCATGTACAGTACTGCATAATTAGATCAATTATATCTACAGTATGTGTCAAAGTCTTGAGGTTCTGTGAATAACCAGCTAGGTAATCAGATTGTTTTGGCACACCCTTGTTGAGAACTCAACATTATTGATAAAACATTGACAGAATGTGCTGTTAATTGTTAAGACTTCCCATTGGAAATGGAATAAATCTTTTAACTGAGAATTGAAATCACAACATGGACAAATCAAAATTTTTATTACAGAAAAAAATCAAATGACAATAGAATTATTTATAATAGTGGAAGAACTGGATTACAATGAATGCTATTCTGGACTGTATAAGCTGAAAACATGAAGAATTTGTTTTTGGGAAGTCCATATAAGTTCATTCCATGCTGAAAGGTAAGAAATCACATTTTGGTTATAAAACCTTCTTCAGATGACCACACACCTGGTCTTCACACTGAAAAAGGCTTCTCAGCTGAAACACTGCTTTTTTTCTTTAGCTTTCAGCATGGAAAGAACATTTACATGTTTGTTGCAGCCTACACTTTTTTATATGTTATTACTGCCTGACTTCTGTGCAGTTCTCAATTCAGATCAACCCTGGAGCAGATGAACTGTTCTGTATAAGAGACAGCAGAACACTTTCAATACTTTATTGACACAGCTCATACATGAGCAATAAGAAAAATACATTACATACATTCTTATTGTAAATTTGCTTTCATTATTCACTTATGATACACTTATGGTTTTGAGTTATATACTTTTGTTGCTAATTAATGTAGTCAGAACAAGTACTGTGAATGACAAACCCAACTATGTATTTGCATTAACGAGGTTTATTTAAAAGAAAAAATATAATTAAATTACAGGTGATAAAAATTAATCAGTTGCAAGTGTTAAATACTGTATGTGGAGACATACATGTTAAACATTTTGGAACCACAGAACTTGCTCACTCTAAGATGTTTATCTCTCTCTCTTATTACTTGTTAATTCTTACTGATTGATTTGCAATGTCAAACATCATACAGTATGTGTTCATCTTCAGGATGGGTAGGAAAAAAAGAAGCAAAATTCCACCTTCTAATAATTCCAGACAGACAGAATTCTAGACAAAATATTAATGTTTTCTATATGGGTTTCATATGGCTCTCAAAATATCTTAACTCACAGCTTATATCAACTAAAAGGGTACAACAGAAATTAAACAAGATTAGTCCACAGCCTACTTCTAAACATATCACAAATATAAACAAAATAATTAAATTCACACAACACAATATCAATTTAAGTGGAGAAGTGCAAATTTAAGTACACCATGCTGGTCTAAAGTGATTTAGTTTTGTAATGAGCAATTCAATTTGCGCATCACATATTACAACAAAATCCCAATACACTGACAGGCACAGTTATTAGTGCTACTTTCACAATGTGAAAGCCATTGAGTTTGTATCAAACCCAAAACTACTACGAAAGTTATTAACATGAAAATCAAACTTGTTTTAATTTGGAACATCGCGGATAAGATCTCCACAATGTTTCAATGCAAAAACATGACAGAAGTAAAGCCTTAAACATGATTAACAAAACAGCTTTATCTGTGAAAGTGCTGATATTGCCAAATTTCTAGGTTCAATTACATTGCATTTTGGCACTCTGTAAGGCATTCATAAGATATTTTGAAAGGTGTGAATATTTCAAAATATAAAAGAAACAATTTTAGTCATTTACAATTTGCTCTGACAATGGCATACGAAACCTTGAATTTAAATTAAGAAAAACTATTGCTAAATCCTTCAAAAATACCTAAATTTATTTGAGCAAGTTGCCATGAACATCATTTAGAGGTATTGTATGAATCAAGTTAAGCCTTATTTCCAAAAAATGGCTTCTCCATGTGCATTTTCAGACACCGGCCATGTTCATAACGGCCAGTTTCTCAGGAGCTTTTTACCTGGATTCAACCTAAGAAAGCTAAGGTAAACTGTGCCTAAGACAAGAGACATACAGTACAAATATTTCCACAAATATCCTTACCCGCATCATAACTCATCCTGAAAAAGAAATATTGGAAGTATGGAATATGGAAATATTTAAATTGACTCACTTATTTTTTCATACAATTACTGCAAAACACTGATTCCCAGAAAGCTTCAGTGTCTGAAGAATATTTACCTTCTAGCTAGTGACAGGAAACCTTTCAAAGCCTTCTGCTGTTGTCTGCTGGTCTGGAGTTTTCTTACTCCAACCATTTCATTGTCCAAAAAAAAAACAAACAAGCGAAAAACAGAATGGCTTGATATTAACCCTTGGCAGATCTATCACCTTAATATTTTTATAATTGCTTTTAGAAAATAGAGAGCAAATTATGAACAAAAAAACAGAACATTAATCTGTTAACTGAAATATAATGAAAACTCTCTTTGTAGTTCTAAAATAAAAGTATTCCCTTATGTTTTAGCATGTGCATTATTTTTTCTCATTCCAATGGGCACTATCTCAGTGCCCTCCAGCTTTTCCAAATCCAGTTTTTCTCCCGGCGAACCAAAACCGCAAACTACCTAGAGCTCTTGCACTGCAATTCCAGTCTCCCTGCCAGAGAAAGCAGGGAGCTCTTGAGAGCTCGCTGCTGAATCACAATGGTCCCAGACAGTACGTCCACCATAACAACCACCTTCACAGTCACTGAATGGCCAGCTGTCACATTCTGAACAGTGGTTCAGACAAGATAAAAAATGCAAACAGAAGAGTACAAACAGAGGCTCAATGATCACAGTGCTGTACAATTAAGATAACCTTCTGAAATTGTTTCTTTGAATGTACAGTGTGATTTGTTTTCTCCAGGCATGGATATCATACTTTTATTGTACAATTTGTATGTGTGGACAGTTTATTTTTTTCCAGAAGGTCTGTATCCTCTCCTTTCCCTGTATCTTCTTCCTGGAGACTCCATTTTAATTTTGTATCCAAAGGTACCCCTGATCCCTCCGCTGCAGAGTAAACTCCCGAATCACCACTGTCCTGCCGGCTGTGTTTGACAACATCCACCTCAGTCAGAGACAGGCTGCGCAGGGAGACATTGGTGTTCTCCTCAGGGACAACGTCCAGCATTTGGCAGCACAGCTCCAACTCGGACTCCACTGTCAGCAGCTGCGGAGTGTCTGAGCTCAGAGACGAATCTTCCAAGCACTGGAATTGGATCAAACAAGAAACAAGACTCACTACTGTGTCTATATTTGCTAAATTAAAACTTTCATAATGGTTCATGACTTCAAAATCCAGCGCTATTGCAAAAATAACAGATAATATCCTATTGTCCTTTAACTTAACAGCCTCCAATACACCTTTCTGCTGCCTGATCCACCCCGCCATTATTTCTCTTTCTCATTATTTTAAACCAGTCACAGGTCATAACATTAGAAAACCCATTCCATTTTGCTGTAGCCAGCAACAAAAGCTTTAGCATTAAAGTTTATAACATTTACCATCAGTCATGTGCCCTCCTTCTAGCAGCTCACCTTAAGATGATTAAGAGTAACAGTGTGAATGAAGTACATGTTCGCCCAGTTTCCGAGGCAACATTTCCCAGCCTGACCTGTTTACACTCAGCTGGGAATGTAACGACAATAGAGCAACCACTGGAGTGATGCCAAATAGACTATTGCGTGAATACTAAGTCATTTGTATTGTAATTGCATAATGTTAACTTTCTGGACTGTGCAAAGGTATGTACCTGTAAGTGAGTGACTACTAAGGAAATATACAGCTAGAGTACCCATCTGAATATAAAGATAAGGTGTATGTTTCATAGGTTTCACAGTTTCACTTAGGGTGTTGATAAACCAGGATTGCTAGAAGATAAGATCACTTTATTAGCCATAGACGATTTCTTGCATTAGGAATTCGTCTTTTCATATACACCAGCTTGCTCTCCATGAGACACACAGACAGGGAGAGAAGCCTGGGGTCAGACAGCAGGGTCAGCCATTGTACAGCCCCCCTGGAGCAGCTGGAGTTGCTCAGGAGCCCAACGGAGTAGGATTCCTCTGCCCGCCGCGGGATTTGAACTGGCAACCTTCCAGTCACTGACACAGATCCTAAGCCACAGAGCCACCACTCCACCCATGGTATGGTATGGGTAAGGAGGTAACTGTAGATGTGATAAGCACTTGAACATTTTGTTTCAGTATGAATTAAAAAGGAGCATTTTTGTCTAACTATATTCTTTAACTGGGTAAACAGCTTTTCTTTTGTTTCTGTGTCAAGTTTTTCTTATATTGCAAGCTCAACACTATAATGAAGCCCAGAACCTCTCTTGACCTTTTATAAAATTAAAGTTTATGTAATAACCATTTAAAGTTGATGGAATTTCACATGTGAAGGCTCTTATTAGCCATACAACCTCATGTAGAATATTCCACAACTTGAGATCTGGACACATTCATATTCAGAAAAAATATATTTATATAAAACCACTAGCACAACCCAATAACCCAGAAGTTCAAGCATGGGCCTTCTCACAGGCTGATTGAGATAGGGATCCAGCAATCAACAGGACGCTAATTCTGCAGACAGCTAAAGACCACCAGCTTAAATAAACTATACTTAATGTGTCAAAGGCTTTATACCAAATATTTTATATTAGTCACATCACGATTAGTAGAGGAAAAAAGACATGTCATTTAACCTCTTTTTTTATGATCAAGTTTCCACAAAACTCCCTACAATCTTTTAAACATAGAATAAATTGAAATCTTAACAGTTTTTATGTATCTGCACTTAAAAAGACATCTCCAACCAAGTCAAATCTTGGTGGATTTCTTTGACTGTTAAGTCAAAATCACAACCAGTACAAAGACTGCTCAAATTTGAGTTCATTCCATCTCCACAAAACCTGCCAGGGCTTGTACAGGAACTCGGGTGCTATCTGAAACAGAACTGTTACAAGATTAATCACTGAGTCACTTCTCCACCCCTTGCTGGAACTTGCTTAACAGTCACTTGAGTCCTACATCTAGTATTCCATTGTGTCACCTGCACCTGCACCGTCTTGTGCATCATGCTGTGAGAGAAAGTGAGAGGGAACTGAGCCCTTCTCCAATGTCGCCAAGGCAGGCAGACCAGTATTATGAGGGGGGTCTTACCTCTCGTATGTTAGCAGGCAGTTCATACGAGGGGAAGAATGCCTTCCGGACGGTTCTGTAGGATTTATAGAAACTGAAGAAACACAGCAAGATGATCCCACAGGACACCACCATAGCCAGCAGAAAGACAAGCCCTATCAGCCAGGGTGGGGCATGACCTGAAAAGACACGATACAGAAATATTCAATGTAATAGCTCAGGGCCCTTTGTGCTCACTCAACTATATCTATGCTTTGAATCACAGGTTATGAGCAGCATGTTTTAGTTTTTAGGATCTGACAAAATCAACTTTAAACATTGCAAGGGTCTTTCATTCTATTTATCTGATGCTTTTATCCAGATCAATTTACATTTGCACCCATTTACACAGCTGGGCATTTTGCAAGTGCAGTTTATCTGAAGTAGCTTGCTCAAGAGTATAACAGCTGTGTCCCACCTGGCAAGTGAACCCACAATTTTTCTAGTAAAGAGGCCAGAGCCCTGACCACCAATTTCAAGGTTAGTGCTGCCTTGAAATGAAAACACCAATTTTACATACTTAAAACTTGTGTCTAAATAACACAGAACAAAACACATTAATTTGACAAAAATGCAGGTAGTATCACATTATTATATGATTATTGTATATTGCAGAATATCTCTGTAATACCACACTCTCAAAGATGTAGAGCAGAGATCATTGACTTTGGTTTCTAAAAGAATGAGAGCACCCAAATTGTGCCAGGATAACAAGCACCACAATTACAGAACTTTCACTGTCGGAACCGAGCACTCAAGGGTGTACAGTTCTTAGGTTGATGCCATATGTGCACTTGTTCTTTTTTTCAAGAAGTGGAGAATGTTTCATCTCACCATATCGCGTTTCTCCACTTCAATAATATATTGCCTGCAGTATATTCACTAAGTTGTAAATTGCCAGGTGCGATGTGTGGTTTTCGGCTCTGTGGAGTTTCTGGTGGATCACTGTTAATTAAACAAGCTACTTGTGCCCCATGTTGTAATTTGCAGTCAACAATCAGCATTTGCTTGTCTGTTTTGCCTTACATTTTAAATTAATGCATAGACAAATATCCTAGAGCACTACCACTCACTGTTACCCTTTTCTGCTGTCCAGTGTTGTTATACATGACCCTAAACATGCTGGAATGTTACTTGCTTAATTAAATGCCTATAATATATTTACCCAGATCCACTCCTGTGTCCATAACCTGTATATATAGTTGGATGCAAATATTTGGGAACCGCTGGCAAAATTACACGTTTTGTTGATTTTTTAAGTGAAAAGAAGCTAACACAACTTCTGCAGCAAACAAAACTTAAACTTGACATATTTCTGCAAATATTAATGCACAGTTACTGTTTATTTGCTAAATTTAAGGGGTTGGAAAAAATAAAACATTACATGTGACATGTGTAAAGATTTGGGCACCTTTCCAGTTGATCCACTAGTGTTACATTTTTTGTAAGGTCTCAGAACTTAATTGACTCATTAAGCCTAAATCTAAGTCAAGTGATGACAATTCCAGAGCTTCATTAATTCTGACTCTTCGAACCTCTCAGGGTTTGTGCTTACACTCAACAACCATGGACTCCTATAAGCAGCTGACTTGAGGTTCAGAAAATAGCAAAACTCCCATATCACTGCAAAGGACCTGCAGGAAGGTTAATCTGGTACAGGAGTAGTGGCACAAGAGTCATCAGAAGGAAACCTTACCTGCAATCTCATCACAAAAGTCAATGTCTGAAGTATGCAACAACACCTAAGCCAGAGGCATTTTGAAACCAAGTGCTGTGGTCTGATAAAGTAAAAATTCATTTGAAGAGAAGAACACCTTTTCAACTGTTAACCATGGGGGTGGATCTATTGTGCTTTGGGCTTGTGTGGCAGCCAGTGGCACTGGAAATATTGTGTGGGTAGAGGGAAGAATGGATTCTACTAAGTATCAACAAATCCTGTTAGCTAATGTCCCACAGTCAGTGAAGAAACTGAAGCTGAAAATAGGTTAGATATTACAACAAGACAATGATTCAATTCAATTTATTTTTATATAGCACCTTTCACAACAAGGTTGCCCCAAGGCACTTAATGCAAGTAACCATATATTTTGTGGCTAGCTATTACAACTAGACAATGATCCAAAACATACCTCAAAATCAACCATGAACTACTTCAAGAGACGAAAGATTAAGGTTTTGGAATGGCCTTCACAGTCCCCAGACCTGAATATTATTACAAATTTGTGCGTAGATCTCAAACATGCAGTGGATGCAAAACGACCTAAGAATATTTCTGAACTAGAAGTGTTCTGCAAGGAAGAGTGGGGAAAAATTTCCTAAAGCTAGAATAGAAAGACTGTTAGCTGGCTACAAGAAACGTTTGGAGGCTGTGATTTCTGCCAAAGGGGTGTTACCAAGTACTGATTGATAGGGTCCCCAAACTTTTGCACATGTCACATTTACTATTTTATTTTGTTAAATCTGTTAAATTCAGCAAATAAATAGTAACTGTGCATTAGAATTTGCAGAAATATTCTGCAGTTGTGTCAACTTCCTTTTCACTTAGAAAATCAACAAAATGTCATTTGGCCAGGGGTGCCCAAACTTCTGCATACAACTGTATGTTTGGAATGATTCAATTGACATTTTGAATCTTAATCTTTACCATCATCTTCAGTCTGGCGGCACATCACAGGACTGAACTTGCTTCTCTTGTTAAGGTCACTCTCCAAGGCTTGCACCCTCACACAGTACACTGTCCAGTATTCAAGACCTGATATAATGATCATGTTATTTTGCGTCTTAATTTTATGGATTGGTGAAACCTATAAGAAATGGGAGGAAAAAAATACACCATTGTTATTCCTAGCAATTACTCAACACAAAGGCTCCTGGAATACCAACAGTCAAAAAAATGCCAAAGAAAGCAGTACAAAACAAATAAAAAAAGAATTAAACATGCTTTGACCTTTAAATAATTCTAGTGAATAATGAGATTAGCCCATTTGATACTTAACTAGTTGATCTGAGGATTTCAACCAACCTTTATGGAAAGAAGCATTTATGGTATCAGCTTCAGCAAAATAGCTGGGTAGCTTGTTCCATACGCCTACATCCCTTTGTGGATCTCCTGATCTTAGTTTTAAAATATCCCTCCCCATGTATTCCACCTGTGTCCTCTGGTTCATATATCACTGCTGATTCTGAAGATGTTTACTGGGTTGACTTTGTCAATGACTTTGGGAATTTTGAAATTATCAAAACAAAGGCTTAAATAATAATACTCTGAAGCTCCAACATGGGACTTGTGTCTGCACTTTCACAGGGTCTTTCAAATGAAGTGTGGGAACAGCTATGACTCTTGTCCCTGTTCAAAAAAGGTTAATTTTTCAGGGATACAGTACATTATTCAGGAATTGTAGAATGTGGAGCCAGCACTCCACATATTACAATTCAAAAGGAAACAAACAAAGCTGTGTGAAACCTCAGGTCTGAATGGATGTTGAAAATTAGACCTGGGGTTATTCAATACTGTTTGCAGCACATTTCTCATGATCCTGATATCAGACATTTAACAGTATAATAAAGCTTTTGATGCAGGTTTCAGGTGATTATTAGTGACCTTGAAACCAGGTGTCTTTTTTTTTTTTGCAAAGTGAAAAAAATAGCATTAGGAGGCCACTTTTCACCTGCCTTCCTCAAACACCCATTGAAGTGTGCAATCAAATTTCTTAAAAGTCCGGATAAAATGATATCTCTCTTAGTGAAGAGCTAGCCTAAATGTGATGAACATAACCTCCCTTTTCATTGTTTTTGACTATCAATTAAGTAAAAAGCAGTTCTGTTGGTGGCATGTTTTTTTCAAAAATGTGACTGCTGGCAAAAAGCTTTTCCAGACACAAGCATTCTGAATTTAGGAACAACTTTAAGTAGGAATAACTTGTATTTTAGTGAAAAATAGTGCAAACTGCTGTCTAATTCTGAAAAACAATTGGCAGCCGATACACATTACAAAGCAGTGGATCAATTTGTTAGTAGGGGTGAGAAAAAAAATCGATTCTTAGATGCATCGTGATTCTCCCTTACGATTCTGTGTCGATGCACAAAACTCCATAATCGACCTTTTAATATGCACAGTACTAAACATTTTAGGTAAAAAGAATAAAACTTAAAAGTAAAAGACAAATAGAGCAAATAATAAAGGTTTAGTTTTTGGACTTAAGACAAAACTAATTGCGTTGTGAACGTAAAGACGTATAGGTTGACAAGTGCGCCACGCTTACATTTGAACAAAGCTAAGCTACCCAGTTTGTGAAGATGGACAAACTCCGGCCTGCACCCTCCGCTTGGAAAGCCACCATACGGCCACATTTTGGATTTTATTAAGTAAAAGGTAAAAATGAACTAGATACGAGCCATGCAGTGTGGCAGCTGTGTCATATCAAGATAAAATATGAATACAACAAACATGCGAAATCACATTCACGTTTCCATCCGGAGTTGGAGGAAAAACGGCCTGTTCTTGTTGCTGCCGAACAGAGAACCCTCAAGCAAGTGTCACAGCTTCCACATAGCCTGGAAAGGGCGAAGCAAATCACCAGGTCTATAGCAAGTTTTATCGCAAAAGATTTGCACCCCTATGTCCTTGTTGCTCGTCCAGGCTTTTGTTGAATGTTGCAAACATTGGAGCCGAATTACAACATACTGTGTCGGCGTCGTTTTAGTGAAACCAACAATCTACAACCACACCAAAACCCATTGAAGAAAGCAAATAGGGTGATGCGTGGACACCCATTACAACAGAATGCTATAACTCTATTACCGCGCACTACATCACCGATGAATGGCAGCTCATGTCTCATGTACTCCAGACTAGAGCAATGTATGAGAGCCATCCACGTGCGAACAAGGTCAAAATGTTGCAGAACACTGCAGAGCAATGGCAGCTCTTAACAGAAGATTTCGTTTTGGTGACTGACAACGCCTCATGGCTGTTGCTGCACAGCTGGCTAAATTCCTACACATGAGATGTTATGCCCACACACTGAATTTGGCCTCTTAGTGAGTGCTCAAAAAAAAAAAATCATCATGTATAGAAAAAAAATCGAGATGCATCGAGAATCGATTTATAATTGCACTGTGGCACCCTGGATAGAAATTGAGTCATGTGTTACCCAGAGATTCCCACCCCTATTTGTTAGATGATAAAATTCTTCATTTTCACATTTTCTAAATCATTCAATACTGCTATTTCTGCAATTTCCATCATGGGATGCAAATGGCCCATGTTACTTTTTTATTAGCTTATTGTATCATTCTACGCTTGTGCTGGCATCTAATTGCAGGAGCACACTTCAATCTGGTGTTAAGTTTCTAAATGGTCTGTATTCTGCCATCTCTTCATCTGCTCTGAACTGCACTTTTTTCAATTCAGATCCTATGCTGTTCTGATTCAGTGTGGATATCAGCTGACATCGATAATCAAAGCATGTGCTTATAACAACACTGCAAAAATCGAGGTAAACTGAAGACTAAGGTCCAGGTTCCACCAAACATTTGACCCAGCTACCCACAACAAGCTTAGTCAGTACATGGCACCTCCACCAAGACCAGCAGGCAGCAGATAATTCACTTTTCCGATACACACACCAGCATCACAAATAAGAACTATGTTGTGTTATACAAATGACAAAGTTCAGGTATCTGTGAAGCACAAGTCTCTTTATTACATATGCATATGGAAGTTTGGCTTGCAACCACCAGACTTAATAAATACATAGCTGAAGATGGTCCTTTATACCTTAAAACAAAAATAGTTACCATGACACATTCTAAACAAATGATAAGACAGCAACACATGCAAATTAATTATATCTAAGTTGCAGACTGGAAAACGGTTAGTTCTTTTCATGTTCTGGGCATACAGCCAGCTTACATGCCCTTTATCTTACTGACCAAGGACAAGCAGCATCTTTATATATTTGAGCGCAAAGCCAACTTCAAGACACTAGACTGCATAGTTTGATATGCAGTCTAGTGTATCAAGAAATGAAATGAAATGTATCAAGAAATGATATTATGTCACTTCCCAGGTGGCTCTCTTATCTCTTCAACTATATGATGTCAAGCTTGTCAGAGTCTGTAGCTGTAGTAATAGTGGTGTACATTAAAAACCAGAGGATGGGAATAAGAAGTGCCGATCAAATGCACTAACAATAAAATACAGAGTTATGAAACCATTCTACTAAATTTCAAAATACAATTAACACCATCTCTCTCTTATTAATATTCATATCTAGGCATTTGTTTTCAACATTTTCACATTCTGAAACAAATTTTCCAATGATGACACAAATCTAAAAATGTCAGATGCCCATAGATAGCATAGGTCATTCCCAGAGAATTTTCAGTGCCGAGAAGATCAGCCTTCCTGTTGTCACCCTCAATTCACAACCCACCTCCCAAACCGAGAAAAAAGAAACTTCCTCTGAAAAGTATCTCAGCTTTGGCAGGTGGTTTCTGTATCTTTGATGAAGGAAAAAAAATCAAGCTCTCAATTACAGTTAAGCAAACATAAGACATTTCATGCCAACACTAACAGGTTCATTTCCAGGTCAGTGTTAGTATTTAAAGTTTTAAGTGCACCTTTTGATAGGTCTGTTTTTTATTTTTAATTATCCTTCACATGTTACTTTCCAGATTCAGGCAGGATACAAATGCAGAGCACAGTCTAGACTGGTGCCAGCATTTTGTGATTGGGGGATATGTTAGTCCCAATACCACCACCAGGTATGGGATAAGGACATACCTTAGATTGCGATTCATCTTTCTGGTACTCTATAAGGTAGGTTAAATCCCTCACTTTGTCCCTCATGGATGTGTTGTCAGTGGTCATGGGATCAGTCAGTTTCACCTCCAGCATCCCTCGTACGGATGTCACTTCCACTTTTGAAGGTGGACCCAAATCAGCTGAAAAAACAACAACAACATATTGCTAGTAAAAGCACTAGATCTCTCACTGTAGAGATATGCAACACCCAGACCAGGACTACCGCTGTTCTCAACATCTATCAATTACATAGATTTCAATATAGTTACTAAACTATTCAAACTGGCAGACGATACCAAACTAATAGGAATAGCAAACACTGTAAAAGCAACAAACAGAATTCAAAATGATTTAGATAAAATTCAAGGCTCGGCAAACACCTCACAGATGTAGACAAAAACAGGATTTTGCTTGCAAGTAGTAAACACTAAATCAGAAACGCTGAGCTAGAAAATGAGAGTCTTAAATATTTATGTTTATATCATGTACATCTTCTGGAATGTGGGGAAGGAATTTAAAAGACAGACAAAATGCTGGGACACATAATAGCAGAATTTAAATCAATTTAGGAACCAAACATATAGACTTTAACAAACAAGTGTATGAAGGAACCTGACACAAGTATTTAAAATCCTCAAAGGCATTCAAACCAGTGAACTTCAGAATCAACAGTGAAACATGAACCACAGAATACAAGTGGTAACTATGTACATTTAAAACCGAGAACAGGATGTCATATCCTGGCTAGGAATGGCTTGCAGTATTCCCACAAGTGTTCCTCCATCAGCTCAGCGGGTGAGGACTGGCTTGGCACTTTTGTCCATCTGACTGCCTGTGTATCAATCACACAGCCAATCATCCAATTAAATACTGTCACAACATGCTGCACCCCAGGGCAGCGGGGGTGGATGCAGAGGTGTTAGGGACACAAGAGCAAAAGTGTCACAATCCAGGAGAAGGAGCCAGCACTTCTGTCAGTAAACAGGCTGGCCCTGACCAGGGTCAACCTGAGGCGGGACTGTCCTACTGCTAGTGGCCAGACTCTGGAAGCAGGGAATAAAACTGGTAACGCGTCAGAGACTGGGCCAAAAGTGTCAAAGCAGGTTCCCAGCTTCTTGTCCACTCTCAGCAGTTTACATCCTCTGGACTGCCCAGGAACGGACAGAGCTGCCACATGGAGTCCAGGAGAGACAAGGAAACAGAATAACAGCAACAGAAAAGACTCCATTGAGAAGCTGTATGGTGGCTCAGGAGATAAAAGGCTTCAGGAACTGAACAGGGTCTTCTGAAACTGTGTGACCTCTGTTATTCTGCTGCTGCTGTAGAACAGATCTGTGGTGAAATGATGGGTTGAAGCCAAAGGGCAGGGGCTTCTCAGGCATTAATGCAGCTAGCTGGTGTATGACAGAGAGAGAGGAAGCAGGCAAGCTTGGTGAGGGTGTAAAAGAGTCCAGCGGATAAAGACTTCAGAAGTAGAAGTAGAAGTAGCAGCTTGTCGGAGTGAAGGTGAGTCTCCCTGGATCAATGCTCGAAGAAGGAATAGAAAAAGTCTTTTGAATAGATTAAGTGAATAATACTCTCTAGTAGCTCAATGTTGGAGCAATGATGTAGTGGAGAAAGCCTGCCTTAAATAGCCTAATGAGCTGATTGAGAGGAAGACTGGCTACCTAATTGGAAAGCAGCTGGTTTAATAAAGAGACATCCTAATCTCGTTCACACAGGGTCAGAGGAAGGCTGATAACTGAGGGACACCTGCTGCTCCCAGCCCAGGTGTAATAATTTATCAGTAAAGCCAGGAGCTACAGTATGCATACCTGTCTTCTCAGCAACTGCTGCAAAGCAAAGTGTGGCAACTAGCAACTGTGACTGTGACATGCCCTATTATGATGCAGGATGCACATCTTTACCCTAAGGGCTGTGGGAGTATGGAATATAATGTTGTTGAAGCTGATAGCCTGGCTTCTTTTAAGAACTGGATGGATGAGATCTTCAGAACAACTGAACTAACTACTGAATAGGCCACATGGAACAATGGAATCTTGTTTGTAACTTTAGGTTCTTATGTTCCAAATAAATATTATTAACAATTTTGTCATTTGTAGACGCCAATAAAAATATGGTATTTGACAGTAATAAAATTTTAAATCTAAACATTTTTACAGAACTGCAAACTGAAAAGCAATGACATAAAAAGACAAGTATAATTAGATAATAAAGATCCCAGAATCACAAAAAAAGAAGCTGAAGTACTTCTACAAGCTTCATAGAGATAACTAGGGTTTTTGGGCTCATGTTTGAAGTTAATGAGACCTACAGGTCCCCCTTCTTCATTCTTCCATTTTCATGGAGTGCCAGTGACTGGAATCAGTTCCTGAACTGATCTGAACCTCTGACAATGGAAATGAGTCAATAGGACAGTGGAAAAAAAAGGGTTTTCAATACACAGCGAGCCTCACCATTTTTGTCAGGACAGAACTCTATTTCAGTCCAAGGGGAATGCTCTCCATTGCTATTGGCTCTGAGGCGAAGATAATATATCCCATAATAGGACAATTCAGGGGAAAAATCACACTCTGTTTCTGTGATCTCCATGCAAACCTGGGTCCATTTAATCTTCCCCCTCCTCTGCTTTTTAAAGGCCCTGAAAAAAACAGAAAAGCACAGAGAAATCTGCATCACAAACAAGTCAACCTCCTCATGCAAAGTCTTTAACCTCACAAGAAGATGTTGGCATACAAATTTGTTTACTTTGAGTGCTAGTGATTCAGCTATGAGAAGTCAGGCCTCTGAATATCTTGTTTGTTTCCTTTCCCTAAACTCCCATTGTGAAAAGTGTAAGGGTTTATTCTGTTGCTTACGTTGTTGTAACAGAGAACAAGAGCAGTGAAAGCATAAGAAACAGCAAAAAAAATGATCTAGTGAATCAAGTGACCTTGACATAACCATGATAATAAAAAAATGGCTAAATCCATAACACCACAACAACTAAGACATAAATTAAGCAAAAATGTCAAGTGTTTATTACGGCAAGTATTCTGCTGTGAAGTTGGCAGTCCGGTTCGTTTGATGTTCATCCCAGTCCCACTTCATGATGTACTGAGTGTTCACGGCCTGAATTGTGATGTTCTGTGGTGTCGGCAGAAGTCCTTGAACTGAAACATAAAACAATAAGCATCTGCTTTTAGCAATGAGTTCCTAAAGAACACAATATTAAATAGACCACTATGTGTATCATTTTTGTGCGACAACACAAAAAATAAACTTGTTCTGAAATGGTAATTATTTTGCTCTCCACCTTCAGAAAAAAAAGCCACTGTCCATTAAAGTGGTCAATTTGATACGAACTGCTTTATCCATTGCAGAGTCGCAGGGGAGCCAGAGCTAATCCAGTAGGCAACGGTGAGATACACGCTAGAAGGAGCGCCAGTCCATTGCAAGATACACACATAAGCACAGACACATACACAATCACACAAGGGTCAATTTTCCCCAAAACGAATTCACTTACCAGTATGCCTTTTAACTGTGGGAGGATTCTGGAGCACCCAGAGGAAAGCCACACTAACACCCTACATTTGCTCATATGTGAGCATTAACATACTTACTGAATATCTACTGGTGTTCAGACAGGTGATTTCAAGTGACTATAAGCACAGAGACACATTCATTGTAAGTAAACTTCAGAGTGTGAAAGTAATTATTTGGCTTCATATCCCTTTGAGACAATTGCATGAAATGTGTGATCCATTAAGCTCACCAAACTCTCTGTGTAATAGTCAGACTTGTTTTGCTATAGCCACTTTGAGTTCTTGCCAATTCTTGAAAAGTTCTAATGTAAAACATGATAAAATGGATTTAAATAGTTCCAACTGTATCCATTTTAGCTTCTGTATTTTCCATTAATATATGTAGAAAGTTGAAGTCTTTCTATAATACAGTATAACATCACTTTTGCTACATACCTTCCTGGTCTTATCATATAATCAGATACTTGTGCCCATGTCAGCAGTAGGTGGTCTGCAGCAACACCTACTGTTAAGATCTTAGAATTATTTTCCAGTTTAAATCACATCACATTCATTTTGAAGACAGAGGGTATATATAGGCAGTTTAGTCATCTAGCTTGCAGGTTGTTTTTCATATGTAGACCCTTACCACTATCCCTTCTGTACAGCCGTTGTTTCAGAAAAGGTGTGTGCACCCTTTAATTTTACATTTGACTCAGTTATCATCCCCTAGCCATGTTTAAGTCCTACATATATACACTACACTAATCATGATAATGTGGTAGCCCTGTATTTTTTATTTTATGTCTTACTCTTCTAGCAACAAGGTATGCACATTCAAGAATAGATGCTTTGTTTTAGGTTTTTCCTTAGTGCTGGTGTCACAGAGAGGTGACCCCTCAAACAAGAATTATTTCCTGCCTCGTATACGACTACACCACCTAGCAACACAAAGGGGGCCCTAGGCCCCCTTTACTTTACCACAGGTTCTGTTCATCTCCCAGAATCAACAATGCACACACAGACCAGCAATAAGCATATGTATCACATCAGTGCCCTTTTTATTTTCTAAGCACATTAACATTTACTATCACCCAAAGACACAACGAAAACAGCATGTGAAGCAACCAAATGCACTTCCAAGGGTCATAATGAATTCCTGAGGGTCAGCTTTCCTTAAGGTGATGAGGAGAAATAAATTACAGATTAAAAATTTAAATAATTTGTTATTCCCAAATTTTGAGTGCACACAACAAATTTCCAGGGTCATCTGGCATACCACCTGGGGGCGCTCCGCGTACCACAGTTTGAGAACCACAGAGTTAGATGAAGAAATAAGACCAAATCACTCAACATGCAGACAAAAATAGGAAAGAAAGGAAACATAACTGTGGTTCAAGCTGACATTACAGATTGCTAAAGATCCTTTTCACAAGTTTCATATTTCAACATGTGCTGTAAAAATTTTACTGATTTCGCAATTCAAAAAAATGTGGCGGAAACTGACAAATGCTTTCTTTTAAAAAAAAAAGGTCTGTTAACTGTTTCGTAGAAAGCATCCTCCCGTTTGCCCTTTGGTTGGGTTTCTGTGATCTGATATTTTGATGACAACAATTACTGTACTTGCATTTGTGTTTCTCTGGGTCTTGCTCGTTATAAAATAAGAGCACATATACAGAGATGTTTCAGAATAAATTATGCAGTGTTTCTGAGGTAGTGCCACTTCAACCCACAAAGGACTGATGTACAATACAATGCACAAAACCACCCATGTGCGACATCCTCCCACCCTTACAAGGTATTGTGGAAGAAATGCACTTACTTGAGTATGTTATTATGGAGTGAAACAGCAACAACCATGATACGGATATGCATAAGTTCACTGAAACTAAAAATGCAATTAAAAGTTTTTATCTGAATGTGTTTAAGGTCAGTCTTTTACAGACCTAAAAACAAAAAAGTATGAAAAAAACACTTCTTAAGTGCCTAAAATAGTCAATAAGAGCACATCTTCCTACATAAAAAGGCAAAATTAGTCAACCTTTCTAATAACAGATCAATATATATATGCCTATAGAAATCTACAAACCCTTTCTGAAGTGACACATTAAATGACCTAACTAACCTAATCACATTATCGGGAGGTGGGAGGAAACCCACACAGACTCAGAACATGTAAACTCCACACAGAAGGTGCTCCAGTCCATTTGCACTCAAGAGTTGTGAGGCAGCACCACTAACTGCCACAGCACTGTGTCCACAGAGTATATTTTCATTACCAATGTCTGAAACCTGACCGTATTTATCATGCCCATTATGACTATTATAAATTCTTTGACAGACGTAACAACTGAATTACCATGCTGCCTCACACACTCCACTCAGGATTAATCAATTATTTTCAACAGGACCCCTTGACGGTTTGAAAAACTTCGGAAAGGCATATAATTTGCACAGTACTGTATAGAGTGTTATACTAACAGGCTTTACTAAACTGTGCAAGAGTCAGTAGTTCCCCAGCTTTGAGCTTTTTTCTCTAGAAGCTGGACCAAGTTTTTCCCAGGAAAGGGAATCACTGCAAGGACTGAGTCTGGCAAGGGAATAACAGAACAGCACAATGTAATGCAAACATTACCCCCAAAAAAACCTTCATGATTGTGCCTAGCTACTCAAAGTATGGATTACTAGCTTTTGTATGGACAATACAGTAGAAAAAACCTCCAGTTAAAAGGAAGCAAAATTAACAACTCATGTATAGCAATAGGAGTGAGGAGTACTAGTTTATAAGATACTTTTGGCTATTGATCTTTAATCAAACATGGAACAAATAAAGATTTTAATTAGGGCAACCTGTATGTGAAAACCTGGAAATAATGTCAATAGAAACTGCAGTGCTCCAGATCCTCACCCCTGATGAGCACACTCATTGTAAATAGTGTTGGTTAGATCACACCTCTGATTACTTGGTAAGGCGTAAGTTGAGCTGTAGGATAGGTCTGGGGCAAATATTTATTTTAAAAAGTTGTTTTTGTAATGCATAACATTAATGCCCAGTTACTTCATAAAAATTTGCATTATGGTGTCCAGTTCAACTCACCACTTTCACACTTATCCTGCTTTTCAAGGTAAGAGGTCTGGATACCTTGTAAAGTATAAGGTTTTCCTCTTTTTGTGACCTATATTAAATAGAGTCCCTCAATTTCAACACAAAATCAAATTAAATACAAAACATAATTAAATGACTAAATACTTATACACCAATTGTAAAATATTTGATACAGGTGCTTTTGCAGAGCATATCTGTTGTGCGGGAGAAGCAATTATCCACATGAAATTACCTTAAGCTTAAAATGTCTCTTTTGTTTATTTCTAGATCCCCAATGTATCTCAATAACGAACTGCACCATGACACGAAAGAAGCAAATCTCACACTTGGAAACTTAGTGAAGTCCCATTACGGGGAACTGCAGGTCTTACCTGAAGCTGACACATCGACTGCACTGTGGTCTTCCATAGAAATATTACTCTGCAATGTTCCAAAACAAACTGTTCCAACTGAACAGTCCAGACATATTCAAAAAACGTAAAACTTCATGTTAACTGGTGTGACACCTCGAAGGGGCTGGAAGGTTCCTTTAAGCCTGTGTTCCCAATCCTGGCCCTAGTGGCCCACAGAATCAAGTTACATAATCAAACCCTTCATTGACATAGTAAAAAGATTAATTTTAACTCTTTTTATTTTATAACTTCTGACTAGAAACAAAATGCAACTATTTGATCTAAAAGAAACTTCTTAGATCATGCACGTTTTAAACCTTCGAATTAAGGTGGCATGGAATGAAAACCAGCAGGTGTGGGTAACTGGGACTAGGATTGGGAACCACTGCTGTAAACAAAGGGGAACATTTCACCCAAATCTGAGGTCTTCTCTGTAAATTCTGGGCCATCTATATATTAAACAACACGTATTAAATCAAACTTAACCTTACAAAAAATTGCTGTAAACTCACTAACACTCTTTGGTTTATAAACACAAAAAAAACCTTCCTAGCCCCACCCATTTTTTGTTTTAGATTGAGGCTTAATCAACAGGGCCTGTGCTCAACAAGCTGCAAGTGAATTTCAATTAATGCTGTGATCCAGCCCAATTAACAGCAACAAGGAGAGGGAAGCAACAAGAGAGCGGGGAAAAGGCAACTAAAGCTCGAAATATTACATGGGGTAAAAACTGTGTTCCTAAGCCCACAAAAGACCCCTTTCAGAATTCTATATTTTATCACACTGGCCACATATACTTAGAGAACTATTCTTTTTTGGGGGGTAGAATGTCATACCACATGCTTACATACTAAATTAAGGCAGAGAAGATAAATTCCCATTACTATCTGTGTCATTTTCCAAAAGAGTTCATGGATCAACTAGTTGATGTTAGGATTGGATACAAAATAGCAACAAAAGCAATTCAACTACAACAAATGTTATTTTCTATTGTGTATAGATTCATTGTTTCAGACTGGGAGGAAGCAGTCTCTATTCTTAAAACAACTAAGAGTTTTGTTCAGAAATCTTTTTAAAACCTCACCAAAAAATAAAATCTGAACAATTCTTAACTATAGTGTAACAACACAAAACAGAACCAATGTAAGTTTTGAAAACATCTAGCCTTGTTTTGCAAGAGGCTTACCATTTTATGGCTTCCTTCTAAACTTTCAGCAGTGCTTTAGGCAGGAAGTAAACAAAGATCACCCACGGGCTGGACACCAGCTCAAAAGAGGAACCAAGAACAATTAATTCCCGATACATAAAATCCTCTTCACTGTCCATATTTAGGATGCCGAGTCAATCTCAGAATTCAAATCCAGACTGAAGACCTATTACTTCAGCCTAGCCTACTCACACCTTACATTATAGCCTGCTGCAACCATGGCTGCTGGTGCTGCTGTACATGCCATTGTGTGCCTCTGTGTTGGCCCACCAGGTAGATACATCTGTTCTGACCAAACTATCCTATTCTTCTCCCCACATGTCCGGATGGCGCCCGGGCTGGGCACCATCCGAGTTGGATGCTGCATCACTGCCATGGATCCATGAGGGACATCGTCTACAGAGTCTACAGAGATCTTACTGGTCTACAGAGATCTGCATGGAGTACTGGCACACAGAAAACATGATGGATGTCTCCTCCGTTGTCTTCTGGTCTATTGTTCTGTATTGACAAAATATATGGTCACTTGCATTGTTAAGCGCCTTGGGGCAACCTTGTTGTGAAAGGCGCTATATAAAAATAAACTGAAATTGGATTGAAATATCACCCTTAATGACAGTTAATGTAACCTGCTTCGGGTGATAATGCTCACTATGCCCCCCCTGTCAGTTAAAGTGACTGTGACACTGAATTGATTGTTTTGACTTTGAAATGAAAAGCAATTTCCTGATGCTTGCAACAGATACTGAGGGCGCTTGCAAAACTGTTGAGGGTTCAAGCATTTTAAATATTTCCAAGTTGAAAATGTTTTGCAAATCCAATAAATCAAAATGCGTCTCTGAAAGACAGTAATAAACTGTAATCTGTTTCCATGTTCTCGGATTTTAAATTTAAGGAATTTTGACCCTTAGTGTTGTAGATCAATCAACACTTGGTCCGAGTGCCATCAAAATACAATATTGTTTAAGATTTGGTTTTCTTGCATAGGAAGAGAGTAGCATGTTACAAAGACATTTACCTGTTTGGGTTTGTTATGGAACAGCACCCATTAATCAGTAGGATAGGGGAAAACCTGGTGGTCAAATGAGTGATTAATTCTGTTTTTTTGTTAGTCATGTAATGCTGTGCACTGTTCTGAGGAGTAAAAGGGGGCAAAGAGAGACAGCTGTTACAAAAACAGATTCTCTCACATGCCCACACTCTCACATTCACATCACACTCACTCTCCCCCTTCCCAGCAGTCCTGTTAGGTTGATTCTGGCTGCCTAACTCAAGAAATACTGTATGAAGAAGAGACAATCAGTTGTCACATGCCTTCCTTAGTTTTTGCTTTGTGACTTCCTTCAATTTAAAATATCTTAGTCCTTCACCCATGTCTTAATTCTAAGTCATTCTAAGGTACACAGTCATTTTCAGTTTTAATAGGCAACCCAGGAATGCATTTACAATAAGTAATCTGACATACTTTTTAGACATGGAAATTACTTAGGCACTGAATCACACTGCAAATATTTACCATGTTTTTAAATGAAATGAAAACAATAACACAAAATAGCCCTCTAGAAAAAAGAGGTGCAAATGTTCCAAATGTAATCTTTCGTCAGTCTCACTTTACAACACAAAGTTCCAAAGACAGATGCAGGTGATACACGTGTTCTGTGTGATACAATAACTGTGAGGAAATGAAGTACAAAATTTGAAGAGAGGGTAATTTAAACATAACTCTGACAACTAATAAAGATTACTTAATGTCTCTGAACAATTTAGTGAATAGCATTATTACTAAAACCCACTCAAAATACTTGGTTCTGTCATATAATCTGTTCATTTTATGTGAAGAAATAAGGGAACACCTGCATTTGCTGCTGAAGTCTTTCCATCCTAGTTTGACATCAGACACTATTGCTCATGGCACATCTGCATGTTGAGCTGTCTTGGTCACTCAATCGCCTTGCCAAGTGCCCCCCAACAACACATTTTCTTTACAAGTCACTGACTTACTAGCCATGATTATAGGCAGCCAAGCCTATACAGAATTTGTTCCGCGATCCTAAGCATACTGAGATTTTACTTCCTCAACAAGATTCACGCCTCTGAAAAAGGCCCTTTTTCTATATACTTGGTGTCCCATATTTTTACCCAGGTGTTTCCATTTATTGATTCGCTACCTGTACACTGCATATAGAGATAATCAAAAGGCATATTGATACCTAGTGGCACGTCCCCTGGACATGCGACTGTGTACATGACCTTGGTGCTCATACATGTTTAGTATTTCGTCTCATCATGGGGTGGCCTGGGTCATAGGCCTCCAAGCCATATTAAGCTACTTAGGTAAAATCTACAAGTAAAAACCCGTTGCTAAACATTTATTGACAACAGTTCCGTGTGAATTATAAAGTGAACAACTAACAAACCACATTTTGCCCAGTGGCTGTCGGACGCTGCGGTATGCTGAGCTCTGCGACGCTGTACAGTATTGTCGAGACTCCTGACGCAGTTTCCCCCAGGCCGACACTGTACTCGGCCAGCGGGTTTGCGCACACACTGCACAGCCAGCAACACGCTTACAGTCCGGCAATCCACATCTACACGTCTAGGCGCAACTCGGGAACAGTGTTGGACGATTACCTGACCGTTTGTAATTACAGTCCCCAGTAAATTCCACCGAGCCACACAAGGTCGAAAACTATTAAACGTCTTTTTAACAGCGAAAACAGAAATATATTAGCTCAAAGTGTATGATTTTAAATCAAAGGGTCTGTGCTCGCAAGCCGTACATTAAATAGTACCCTTTTGTTTTTGTTCCTAAGCAACTGTAGTGCAAATCCCTCCACGGCGAGTGCAACCCTTTTTCACAGCACTGTTCCAAGATTTTTTTTTTTTAAACAAAACATTACTTACCAGCATATACGTGTGCCATGACTGCCAGAAGTGCGGGCGCAAAAGTCTGAACGACCCTCATCTTCTACTACAACTCTCACAGCTGTTACTTTAAAACATCCCTTTCTCCGACAGCTCTTACGCTCTCCTCTCCCCGCAGCAGGAAATAAGGGTAAAAAAAAACCCAGCTCGGGCACTATTGACAAATACAGACGGCATATCCGGCCTATGTACTACTACAAACGAGTCTCTTCGTAGTCTGTTTCCAAACAAGGCCGAGCTGTGGGGCGAAGTCTGCACTGCGGTATGACATGTAACTAGAGAGTAGGAGAAGGAGAGGCAGGCTGGGGGAGGGAAGTGTTCCTCATTTCGCTTTACTGTACGGTGCAGTATCTCATTTAAAGCCATTCATATTGAATTCACTTTTTTAATCATTTTTAGATGAATCATCTATATTATCATTAGATACTATTCTAGCACATAAATTAATCATCTTTAGTCAGTTTTTGTTTTCAGTCATTGATGTAACTTCTTGAATTTCAACAAGTTTGTTTGTGCATTTCCTTATGTGAAATGTAAGTTCAGAAGCCGTGAAAGTAAAAACAACTGTACCTGTATGTGCATGTACTTGGTAGGTGTAAGTATGTAGATATATGTGGTGCTGAAGAACAGGTTATAGTGTGTTAAGCATTAGCCAGAAGCAGCTAAGAAAATCTGAGCAGTGTTCTTCAAAATTTTGAAAGGCATAAACAGATATCAACTGAAGTGGTTCAGGTGGGCAGCTGTGTCAGCATGTGTAGGCTGTAAAGGAACAAGCAATATTTCATAACAATTCCATGCTGAAAAGAGAAGAAAGAAAACACAACGTTTCGACTGTGGAGCCTTCTTCAGGTGTGAGAATGACAGAGCAGTAAGCAAAGGTAATGTAGCAGGAGAACAAAAGCTGGGAGAGAGGAGGGGCGGGTGTTAAGAGCACAGACGGAGAGATTAGTGTGATCATGGCCGTTAGAGGTGAAATGAGAAACAATGGGCTTGGAGAGATCTTTAATCTTCACAGTCCTAACGTTCTTTGAAGCGGTCTCTGACTCTCCTTCCTGTTTCCCCAATGTAGATGGCTGGGCATTTACTGCAAGAGAGACAGTAAATAATGTTGCTGGAGGTACAAGCTGTCATCTGAGTGATCGGGAGTTGACCTGAGGGGCTTGAGTGAGTGTGGTGTTAGTTGTGTACTTACGGGTGATACAGCGAGCTCTGTTGCAAGGGAAAGTACCAGGTGTGGATGGTTGCTGAGGGCGGTCAAGGGAGCTGTGAACAAGGAGGTTACGCAGATTAGGTGGTCAGCGATATGAGATGATGGGGCAATCAGAAAAGAGGGCCCCAATGGAGGGATCATCCTGTAGGATAGAAAAGTTGTAATTAATAGTCCTGGGGATAGGAAGTGTGTTGGGGTGGTAGGGAAGCACCAAAGGAATGCGGTTGTTACAATGGGAGTTCCTGCTTGAGTTGATGGTCCAAGGGGTGTTTTGGGCTCAGGCAAGGGCCCTGTCAGTAACACTGTTATGGTATCCTCTGTTGATGAAAAAAGAGTACATTTTGAGGGCTTGGTTCTGGAAATTGATGTAGTTGCTGAAGAGTCGTCGTAGCCGACTAGTCATCGTAGATATCAAATGAATGTTAACATTGCTTAAAACCTTTATAAAGACTTCATTCAAACATTTGGTTCAGTTTTGTTTAAAAACAGTGTCCTATCTGACATGAATACTGATTACAGAAGAGATCAGAGAGTAATCCCGGGTTCCAAGGTGTATCACAAAGTGAAGGAATCTAGTGTCTTCAGGTCAAGAATAAATTCAAAGTATTCAGAATCCTGAAAACTACTGTATTTATGAACTCCCTAGGTTCATAGCTCTAGTCCCCATAAACTAGAACCAAGAAGGTTTTCTGGGTGAATTTGAAAATCATAATGTGAATTTGTCCAGTTAAGTTAATGATAAGATTAATTCATTAAGTTAGTAAGCACAGAGGTAGAGAGAAAACGAGCAGACACTGCACCCATCCAGGACAGGAATTTTGCCCCACTGATTTACAGTAGGTGAATTGTTTAGCTTGTCTATGGCTCAGAATAAAATTCAAACAGCCCCTCCTCCACACAGAATTTCCCCACCCATAGTTTCGGTACAGTCCCATGTGTCAGATGTGTAAAATGAATATGTATAGTGATAGTAATTCACACCTGTTCCTGTAATCCATTATCGGCAAGCTATTAAGAATTTATACTATAATGGATATAAAATGTTCATAAAACAAGCTGAAGACAGAATAACCTGAATCTCAGCTATACACTCCAGCATATGTTTTTGTGAAACCATGGATTGAGTAAATAAGATGTAATCAATAAAATTGTCCAAGTAAGGCATCAGTAAATCTTAGGTAATCAAATGGATGAAAAGTCCTGATTGAGATTCGGAGACCTGTGAATACCAGTTTCCATTTAGCGCTGTTCTTTTTAAATGTGCAATGTGCTCATTTTTAAATGCTTGTGGCTGCAAATCATAAAATAAAAATATAAAAATCTGTCTCTTTTCATTATAATCATAGTCTAATTATCTACCAATCTAGCTGGTATAGTGGTAAGATTTGCCACCTCTGAGCCCTTTGGTCCTGGGCTTGATTCTGTGGTTCTTCAATGTGAAGTCTGCATGTTCTTCCTGGGGGCTCTGGATTCCTCTCAAAGTTACTAAGGTTTTATTTTAAAGTGCAATCAAGACATGAGAGACAAAATATTCTAGGAGAAGATCCCCAAGAAATCATTTCAACAATATGATTTTGATCTAAGCAATATGATATGAGAATCTGACATCAGTCTGATACATGA